GTATATTACTTTGTTATTAAGATAGTGAATGCACAGGAAAAAGGTGCATCTGTTTTGACTCTTGTATGTTCTGAAAATTTATCTTTTAATGTTTGGCAACATTGCACAGTAGTAAAATAAATTCAAACCAAAGTGCAAGAGTACAAAATATAAGATTTATATAAAAAAACTAGTAATATTAATATTTTGAAGTTGTGAGTAATTGTGAGTAATCCGGAAAAGTTTTTGAGAGTAAATCGGTAAAGACCGGTTGGCAACCCTGCTGCGTACATTCGTATCTGGTCTAGGTAATCTGTGCCATGGGGTAAAGCACGTCACGCTGAGGACAGCGCCCTGCTTGTGACGTATAATCCATCGCATGTGTTCATCTCTTGCTAAGCGATATTGTCGTTGTCCTTGTTTTTCGCATCATAATGAGAGATAAAACAACAAAGACACACATTTACTGTGCCCACCTTCCACTTAATTTCGGAATTCTCGGAATGTCCTTCAACGCCCGGTCGTCCAGATTCTTGGGCTGGTATTTGAATTTGAAAATTTCTTTCATTAGTTTCTGAATAAGGAACCTGGTTTATCCTTGTATGAAGATGTGCAGTGGCGTGAGGTTTAATAGTACCTCCATTGCTGCAGTCGGTGTAGTACGCATGGCCCGTGGCCTTTACACAAGCGAGCCACTGCATGTCGGTAAGTTTGGCCTACTGTACTTGCCTGCGTAGTTTTGGTCGGCCATGTATATTTCAGAGAAATTTGTTGTCCAGACATGTGGTGCAGATATGTGCAAAACTGGACTATTTCAAAAATGTTTTTTTTTGTATTCATCCAACTCTATGGGATCATTATAAAATGGTTACCCCCAAAAATTGTTTTGTTAACCTTTTATACCGATAGAGCAATAAATGTTTTGATTTTGTAAAAAAATCAAAAATCAGAACTGCAATAATAATTATATTAAAGTTATTGACTGGATATATTTTTTAAATGAAGTAGATACCCATGAAACATTTATTTCTTTATTGGCAAAATAACGAGTGTAAAGGTACGTTTACATCTGACATTTATTGCATGATATTTATGTCTGACAGTTGTTTAGTCCAGTGTAAACACTCAAAAATATATGTCCGAGAGAAATTTTTTGTGTGTTTACACTGGACTAAACAACTGTCAGACATAAATCTCATGCAATAAATGTTACCTTAAGATTTTCGAAAAATTATTTATTCACAGATCAATTTTTTACATACCTGTGTACAGGGCGTTACGAAGAACAGTGCCATTGCTCGTGGGATGGTTCCTTACCCAAAAATAAGACAAATCGTTCTTACCAACATGGGAAAACAACCAATAGCACTTATCGAAAATAAAGATGACACTAGCATACTAAATTTATTTTAAGGATTTATTTTGAACGTTCGAGCTTTATTTTATTTCCTATAAACGAAACAGAAATACAAAAAATAAAGTGCAAAGTCAGTGGCGTACATATATTTTGTTAAAAATTATTAAAGCGCTCGTTTGAGTGCGCGACCATGGTAACCTGTTTTATTGCTAAAATATGTGCTTTTTTAGGTACATTGTACAACCAAAATTTCCTTCAAATCTTTAAACCTGTTTCGGAAATCTTGAAAAACCGAACGAAATTAACAATTTAAATTCGAGAGACGCTAAAATGGTGGTTCCCACCTTATCGAGACTGAGGCCCACAAGGCTAAACTCGTAGCGTAACAAAAACGAGAAATGATTTAACTTGAAACGAAATCCCGAAAGCCGATAGTAGTATTAGGACGTTGAATTTTTTGGTTTGTGAAGCATTGGCTTATTAATTAGGTTAAACCATGTCATGATTTCCATAAGCCTTGATTTTTAAAACCGCATTCTATATTGCCTTTTGATTAGGGTTTACAAACTTGTTTGAGCAATTTATCCAATAATAATTGTCCCCTTTACCTCTTAAGTCTGCTCATGTAAAATATTTGGGCTCCTTACTTCGCCTGTTTATATAAAATTAATAAAGGACAGAAGGATGAGTATTATAACTATGTTAAAAGAAATAAATTGGCTTTCAGTTCAGAATTATGTTCAGTACATGACTGATATTTATTTATAAAATAAAAATGACAGTACCACCGCATCAGATCTATTAGAAAAAATTCAATATAATTCGAAATATCACAACTAAAATACAAGAAGCCAATCATGTATGGCAAGCCATCACTAAAAGTTCCCAAAATACAATTTTTATTAAAGGTTTAAAAATTTAATAGACTGCCTACAGAAATTAAAAAAAAACAATAAATGTATTCAAAAGTAACCTCAAACAATACTTGATAAATAAACAGAACGAATATACTTTCTTGTGATAATACTCTTTAAACCTGCCCGTTTTAAGTATTTCCCTTAATTTATTGTTATTTTACCCCTCGTTTTACCCGCATTTATTATAAATTATTTCTATTTTGAGATGATGTACTTTATTTTAAAAAATTACTTGATGTTATAATAATACTACTTACTATATTTAAATTATTAATAGTTTTGCGACGATAGGTTATTGCAACTTATAGCCACAGAACTATTTTTTGTGTTAAAGTAGATCCATAGAGAGCAATGTAATTTACAAAGGCCTTCTTTCAACATACAAATAAATGACTTTATAATTAAAATAAAAAACTACAAAATACCTCGGTACCAAGGTAAGAAGATTCATTTTTACTAATTATTATTTACAATTCGCTGTTGAATATGTAATCCAAAATCGTATAATAAAAATTTTCTACAAAAAAAAAAACCAGCATTATATCCTACCTCTGTATAAGAACATTATATTATCTATCTTGTTGTACCTTTATGAAAGCCTGAATTGAGATATACTACAAATTATTTGCAATAAATATCAAAAAAAGTACACATTTGAAATAATTTGACATTTAAGAGCCATTCTCACATCACAATTGACATATTGATACTTGACAGGCACAGCCAAGCATTATTCTGATTTTTGCCAAATAAAATGGCCGGTTAATTATTCCATGGGGTTGCGTCAAATAGCCAATAAATTTGATGCAGGTGTTTTTGTGGCTAGGGGCGAAATAGTAGTACGCTTAAGTTAGCACCACGCACCACTATAAAAAAGTCATTTTTAAGAAATTGCTTATATATTTTTCATAAATTGGCAGGCTTGGTTACTAATTTTGAATAAAAATAGCCTCCAAAATGGCTATATGATTGCAAGTCTGAGGGTCGCAACCCGCCTTAGACATTTCACCTTTACTATCAACAGCTGTTGTTTAACAGGTCGTTAGAGAATGTTTGCAATTTATGGAATTTTAAGAATGTTGACTTAGAAATAATTGAAATTCCTAAAATTGTAACATAGGAAATGCATATGCGGATTTTAAGAAAATTGCTTATAAAGTAGTTAGGATGAACCGAAAATTCTGAAAATCAATAGGGTTCTAAGTTAGAAGTAATTATTCAAGAAAATCAAAACCGCAAGTCAATCAGAACTTTCGTTCTAGAGTTATCGTGCCGGTATGCATACATACATACATACAGACGACCAGACGAAAATTTTTTTTTGCATTTTCGGACTCAAAATGATCGGAAACATGAAAAGTTTTAAAAAATGGGGGTAAGAAAATTTTTTCGTCTGCACGAATGCAATACCGAGGCACCATAGGAAGGGCCTCAGTAATACCCTGTATTTATGAAACAAAGCATCTGCGGACTTATGTTAATAGGAAGTATTTATCTTATTTTTGGGTAAGGAATCACCCCACGAGTTGCCATTTAAGTCCGCATATATAGTAACTTTTTAATTGTTTAATTTACGCAAATTTATAGTTCATGAACAAACAGTTTTTACTTTAAAACTATTTTTTTTGTTGGTCTGCTATGCTTGTGAAATTGAACATATAAAAAAATATTACAATAAGTTAAGTCATTTCTCAAAATTTCGAAAAATATTAAATAAAAAAGTGGTTTATTTTTGGTTTTTTATCTGCCTACCAAATTTGACTTTCTTTTCAAGCAATTTTTTGGCTGATTCGAATTTCTAAAATCAGAAAAGACCTCCACTGCTGAAGTGTTTTTTTGAATGGCAGATGGATTTGATAATTCAAATTTATGACATTTTTAAAGCGTAGAAATTAAAGTTATACAAATTGTATTTTTTAAATATGTCATATTTTACAGGAATAGTCAATCGAAAGAAAAAATGTCATCGGCTATTTTTTATTAGTTTTGAAACCAAAACTGTTCACTAACTAAATTTGTGTAAACTAAATAATAACAAAGACTATTAACGATAAAGCCCTTAACGATGAAACACTGTATATAAGTAGATATTTTGTATAAATTCTCGAAGATAATACCACAGCTTATACAATACTTATTGTATAAGCTGTGATAATACCTACCACAAGAGGTGATAATTTTTTGAGAACATTTTGATGTTTTTACAAATTATGCAAATTCCACATTTATATTCTAAAAAAAAATTCACCTCGCTTGTAATACCTATTTGGAAAGATTATTTATAATAGCAATATAAACATCACTTTTATAAACAATATTTAATTTGTTACCGTAAGATGAAGTCGAAAGTGATGTCGATTCTTCATTTACAACCAGAACGTTTTTTGTCCATTTTTTGCAATTTTACATTTTGAAAAACTACACACTGTAAATAGTAATAATTGGAATAGACTTCGTGAATATAATGCATTTAATATTAATACTATCAAGGTATATCATGGAATAAGTATTTGAAAGATCCAAATCAGAAAATTTAAATAGGTACTGTGACTTGCTTCGAAAAAATCATCTTTGAAAATAGTAGTATTTGCATTAGTACTTTTAATAACATTCGCTTTATAACGTTAATTTACTCGTAATAGTTTTCATAAAAACTTTAAACGCTCTTTACTTAAATTATAGAATTTTGAGAATGGCCCTTGAACCAAGCCACAGAATTATTTCCAATAATAAAACAAAATTCTTACCGGTCCTTTTGCATCTTAGCAACGCCAAAACATACACCAAATCCACCGCGCTTCCGATCAAAATAAACGCGAAATAAACCGCGACAATCCAGTTTGGGAGAAAGTAATCTGCATTTTCGTACTCTTCGAAAAAACGTTCAGTAACATTTTCGAAATCGGAAACATTTAAAAAATCGCTGCCCGCTGTTTCGTTGAGCTCGTCCATCTCGAGCACGACAAACTGGTTTGACTTTAAATTATAGAATAAAAAAGCGAATAAGACAAACCAGAGAGCGGTGTTAATGCACTCTGGCTGAATAAGAATTAAGGGTCAGTGGTTGGGTACATTATTCAAATATTCTCTAAACTTTCACAGAATTTATGAGTTTTAGTTAGGTGCAGTTTTAATCTGTAATTTTTTTCATAGGTACGTCGATAAAATTGCTTTCAAATGCGCAAATGTCAATAAATCAATATTAGTCGAAGCATTGATGCAAAAATATTCTGAATTTTTTAGACTAAGACGATCGGAATACGGTTTTTTGCATTCGCTTCCAAAAATATTTTGGAAAAAATGTCCCTACTTTTTATCTTATATAAATAGGAAATTGCATTGCTGCAGCTAAAAATGCATTTTTTTTGAGACGGCTTTTGGAATATTAAAGAACTTTGTAAATAAGAGTCAGAACTGATCCAAATCGGGTTCCCGGGGGTTTTCGAGGTCGTTGATCACGATTATAATGTTCAAATTGACCCACAGCTGACCTTTTAGGTCGCTGAATTCAAATATGGCATCGGCGAACACCCCCGGAACTTGGACGTGGACGTCATCACCGAGAATTTTCCTAACAAGATCGCCAAAAACAACCAGAAAATCATTGTAGGGGCGTTTTTTGGCTCGCTGAATCCAAATTTCACGTCTAAAACGACTCCCAAAACACCTGGTGCACCGGAACCTGGACGCGGGCCTCATCTCCGTGAGTTTTTCGTTAAGAAAATCGTTATGGGATTTTTTTTTAAGGCGCTGAATTCAAATGTGGCATCGGCAAAAACCCCCCGGACACCTGGTGCGCCCAAACCTAGACGTGGACGTCATCCTCAAGAATATTTCTGACAAGATCGCTAAAAACAGCCCTATAAATCATTGTAGGGGCGTTTTTGGGGCGCTTGATTCAAATTTTACGTCGAAAATGACCCCTCGAACACCTATTGCACCGGAATCTGGCCTTTATAACGTCGTCTTAGAGGGTTTGCCTCACACAATCGAAGAAGATGGACCCAAAATGGTTGTGAGGGTTTTTGGGGCGCTGAATCCGAATTTCCCGTCGAAAATGACCTTCCCAACACCTGGTGCACCGAAACCTCAGGCTGAACGTCGTCTCGAGGGGTTTCCGATCGCAAAAGACTAACCGAAAATCGTCTCATAATTTCACACATTAATTGATGTGTAACTCTCACCTAGAGCCCTCGAAAAAGAGTATCCAGTCCTGTAAAATTCTAAATTCCGTTTTGAATAGAGCAAGGAGAATCACGAGATCTCCGAACTTTGCCGAGTGGCTTTTCACTTTTTTCCCAACGTTCGAAACGCTTTTGTGTAAGTATACACAGAAACTTTTTCCTAAGCAGTGTTGTCAGTCTAGTACAATTGTACTAGATCTAGTACTTTATTTAAGAATCTGGTACTCTAGTACACTCGATGCAAAATCTAATACTTTTTTTTTAGCCTGTTTCCATTTGATGGGTAAAATATATTGTTAGGTTCTTCCTTGTTTGTGTTTTTGTGTTTGTTCTCGATAAAAGCTTTTTTTTTGTTTTTTTGTTTTTTTTTTGTATTTTTTTTTTTTGTTTTTTTTTTGTTTTTTTTTTGTTTTTCTTTTTGTTTTTTTGTTTTTTTGTTTTTTTTGTTTTTTTGTTTTTTTTGTTTTTTTTTTGTTTTTTTTGTTTTTTTTTTGTTTTTTTTTTGTTTTTTTGTTTTTTTGTTTTTTTTGTTTTTTTGTTTTTTTTGTTTTTTTTTTGTTTTTTTTTTTTTTTTGTTTTTTTTGTTTTTTTTGTTTTTTTTGTTTTTTTTTGTTTTTTTTGTTTTTTTTTGTTTTTTTTGTTTTTTTTTGTATTACATTTTTATGGATTCTGGTACATTTCTCAGACAAATCTGGTACATAACAAAAATATATTCTGGCAACACTGCTCCTAAGTCCAGGCCCCGCCCACCAACGCGTAGAACGCGGCAGTAGAAAACCGTTATCATAGTTGCCGAAGATACAGACGTTGCCGCACATACTTTGATTTTCTTTTACTATACGGAGAATGGTCGCACTGCGCAGCTTTCTGAGTGCCTTTTAAAAGGAGATAGAAAACTCCGCCATTTTGAACCCTTATTACGTGTTGCCTACATCTTGGCGCAATATTTTTAATAGGTGCGTTTTAATCATCCGCTTCTGCTTCGGAAATGTCGGTTTTCTTGTTTTAATCTGACAGGTTAAAACGACTAAACCGACTATTCCGGAAGCAGAAGCGGATGATTAAAACGCACCTGATATTTTGCTTGGTGCTGTCAGTGTCAGTGAATATTATTTTTGAAGTCACAGTTTATTGCTAAAGAATCAGTTAGCTCACTCGGACCAGTTGAAAGTTCCAAAATAACATCCACTCCAGGGATACAAATTCAGGATACGCAGAAGACTGCTGTTTTATTATAGGCGGTTGCCATATATTGTATTATCCGAGTTGCACAGTGTATAAACTGAAACATTGAGATCCAAAGTGCCGACGCAGAGTGAGCGATCCGATTCTTTAGGACCTCTCTCTTGCCTCGTATAGTAATCAAAGTATGTGCGTTGCCGTAATATTGACCGCACTCTGCCCGGTTGACAATGAAATATTTATATTCTTCGCGTATCTTGTCTCATATTTATTTATTTATTTATTTATTTGTTCCATCCTAACAGGCTTACTGGCCTAAATTACAAGGATAGACTTTACAATATTTATTATTTACACAATCGATCAAAACGTATTAATATACATATTAAATAAATAGATATATAGATATAGGGGGATTAAACACAAACTCATATTGAGAAAAAAAATTTCTAAAAAATAAAAAGCAAATCATATAATAAAAGAAATGGAAAAACTAAAATAATTAAACAGACAAGTTCACAATATACCTATAAATTAGGTGTCTGAATGTTATTAGAGGCATATGCCAATCTACTTCGTGCAAGCAAGTAATATTATTTGCTAAACGGAGCATGGTTAGGAGAGGTGATCGAAGAGTGCTACTTACAAAGGGAATATTAAACATAATCGCGGAACGCGTAGGTCTAGGAGGTACATTAAATGGCAAAACTGACAATATTTCTGCGGAATTTATATGGTTATTTATGATTTTATACAAAAAAAAGTATAGCAAACATTTTTCTCCTACAGTCTAAAGAAGGTATTTTAAATTCACTTCGTAATTGTGTTGTTCTGACACTATTATAATCTGGTCTAATAAAGTATTTTTTAAAGTAAAGGTATCTTAAAAATTTGTTTTGTATTCTTTCTAATTCCTGCAAAATGGTTTGGTATTCTCCATTCCATATTACAGAGCCATATTCAAGTTTAGATCTTACTAACGTAACATATATCAATTTTATAGAATCGATTTTGACAAAAAGAGACGTCTGTCGTATCGTAAATCCAAGAGCGCGATTTGCAGATTTTACTACATTTTCAATGTGTTTTTTTAAAAGATAGTTTATAGTCATACGTAATTCCTAAGTCTTTGAATTCATATACCCGTTTTAGTGACTCATTATCCATACAGTAATCAAAAATAATTGGATCCTTTTGTCGAGTAATTGCATTACATTGCATTTTTTAATATTAAAGTCTAATTTACATTGAGCACTAGTTGCGGATAATATTTTGTTGCTCCATGCAATAACAGGGTGCAGGACCGTTTCAGCAACGTACTACCAGGGAAAAACTAAATTTTTCAAAACCTTCCAGAAATTCGCAGACCTTCAATCTCATGCTACGAAGTTCAAGGAAGCTGGTTTGTCAAGCGAAGAAATTTTTGAGAATGGAGTGCAGCTAATCTTGACAATGTCGGATGCTGTCTTTCCTTCGGATGTCATTCAATGCCTGTTGCGGTATTAGTCAAAAGAGTAGTTGTTTTTTGAAGGGGAGACGGTCGTTGTATTTTGTGTGATATTGGCTGAATTCATTTTATTTCATTTACGTCTATCCACATTTGAGTTTTGATTTATTTTCGTCTACAAATTGCCCGCCTGGTGCTTTTTGGTTCCACCTAGTTTTCTAACTAAGTACCACAGCGCATTTTGATTTTGCTTACTAAAAACAGATGGCGAAACCATTTCACTACTTGAATTATTATTCTCTTCATAACCAACTTATTGGTATACTGGTGAAATGTGTAGCATTTGTTAATTGCATTAGAGACTGGAATTGAGAACCTATCTTTTTTTTGCTGAGGAGCTCTAATAAGGACGAAACCGGTCCAAGAATGATGTTCTCCTTGGTGAGCAAAATCAAAGTAGAGAGTGTTGAAAATTAATTTATATCTCTGCTGTCTTTCCTTCAGATGTAATTCAATGCCTGTTGCGGTATTAGCCAAAGGAGAAGTTGTTTTTTGAAGGAGAGACGGTCGTTGTATTTTGTGTGATATTGGCTTTGAGCTAAATTCATTTTATTTCACTTTTTTCTTTTAATCGTTTAAGAACTGTTTGTTTGCACACTCCTACATTATGTACATTGGCCAAACGCGCCTGTAACTTTGTTGTGCTTGTAAATCGTTCCCTGAGACACTGCAGAGTTAGGAAACGATCCTGGTTAGGAGTAGTTTTCCTATGCCGGCCCTAACCTGCTCTTCTTCGATTGGATCCAGTTTCATGATATCTTTTTAAAATTTTGGACATAGCCCCTTGATTTTTTCCCATAATTCGTCCAATATCGCTCTGCGAACAACAGAAAAGTCCTCTGGCGTAGGCACAACCAGCCTTCTGGGGTAATAAAGCGGTTATTATTCCTAATTTTAGAACCGTAGGCAAATGAAAACCTGACTAATCAATAGGTATATTTAACAAAAAACTAAAATGACTATACTGTCACTCTCACTAAATTCCGTCAAAGTAAAAAACATCAACCATCTCAAAGCCAACTTAAATTTAAAAACCAATGGTGCAAGTATTGTTTGTATGTACGCATTATTGCTATTATTGTGTTATGGCATGTACATTATTGATATAAGGCATGGTTAAGGCTTAACGGGTTTTTAAAATTGGTAGCTTTTTCTTTGTTTTTTATCCCCAATAAA